ACACCTTAATATAATATTTTATTAAGTGACACCTCATAAACTAGGTGTAACCGTTACAATACCCCTTATATGCTTAAAGCCCACGTCCACTTGATGTGGCAAGGCAGGAGCAAACAAAAGAAACTTAACCAAAAGATTTTGAAAACAGTGATGGTCCTTAAGGACCATCATGCTCATATAGACCATCACTTATTAAGATTTTTTTTCTTTCTTTTTTATTTTTTTTTTATTTTTTTTTATTTTTACTTTTTTTTTATTTTAGAATTATTACAAATATGAAATTTGGTGCGAAACCCTCTACTTTCCACAAAAAAAAAAAATGACGGATGTCCAAATCGTATTTTAGAAAACCATAAGTATAGAAGAGCACATTGTACATTTGGTTCTTCCAAACAATGTACCCAAAGTTTATTTAGAGCCAAGGCGCTAAACAATCAAATTTGAGCCTATCTCAATAATTTCATTAGAAGATATTGTTTTGATGCCCAAATATCCTCAAATTCATCATCTCCACATCAAGATGCATGGACATGAGAAGAAAATAGATTTCAACTTTTGGAAATAGTGTATTTTGTAACGCACTTTTGGACGATCAATTTTTAAGATTTTGAAATTTTCATAGATCTCTCGATCTACACTATTTTTGAAATTTTAAACTTTATAAATAAAGATGAAAATATATTTTAAAGTCATCAAAAAGATTTCCAGTGTTGAAACCACATTTCTCGGCACTATTTGAAGGTAGGCTCTAATTTGATTGTTTAGAGGCTCTATACAAACCGCACCCTTTTTCTAAAAGTGAAATGGGCATGAACAGAATGAACCGAACCCATCGTTTTTTTTTTGTAATTCAACTCTATTGAAACAAAAGACCTATTTAGACTGGCTATGTGTACAATATGCTCCCAAGGGAGCACACTATTCTTGCTGTTGCTTTAATTATTAAAGAAGCGGCAAGTTTGGCATTAAACCTTTGAACTGACATACCAAAAAAAAAAAGACATCAAATGTTTGATTGACTCAAAAAAAAAAAGAAAAAATTACCTAAGTCTGACACTAGATGCAGCAAGTGGCGGTATAATAAAAGAAAACACGAAAAAGCAGGACTTTAGTATGGAATAAAAAATATGTTAGTCCTATATAATAAAAAATTCTGAAAATTTATTGCATTTTTTTTTGAGGTAATTCAATAGAGAAGACTGGACATATCCGTTTTTTCAAATAGCTTTTTTTAAAGTATTAGTAGGGTGGTGTTAGTGATAGGAATGAAAATCACAATTTGATAACTATTGTGTGAAATGCTACCACCACGACCTTAATTTAAGTAGTTTTCGCTCATAATGTTTCAAGACAGTTCATATATTATCATTATCATCATCATCGTTGTATTATTATTGATATATTAATGATTCAAATGAAGGGTGAGATGTTATGACTAGATATCCGGCCCCCAACCACTAATGCCCCGAACCCATTCCCAACACGTCTATATATTATTTAGTTGAGAGGGGGTAAGATAATGTTCAACATTGTTGTTGCAAAATTACAATTATATAATTATTTTTACCTAGTTCAATGGTAGGAATCATAGCAAAGTTAAAGCCAAACCCGTCACAGACAATATAAAGGGTATGATCACAAATGACACATGGAGTAATAACACCACACCAGATGACTTTGACAGGTAGTAGAAATTCTCAGTTTGGAACTAAGCATTTAAGGATTTGAAGTTGCAAATGTAAGCTGATTAGAAGGTGACTCTAGCACTAGAAGCACCTAAAATCCCTTTCAAGTTTCATAAAAATGGCTGATTGAGGTGAAGCTCTAAGGAAAAAAATAAGGCATGTAGAAAGTGTGTCTCCTATTAGTAACCACAGAATAAATCACGAGGACAATAGGAAGAGTAGAAAAGAAAAATCAACTACAAACAGAAGGCCCCATGCAACACGCAATTTGGCCGCAAGGTTGATGTCCCCATGCCTCCACCAGCCATCTTTGACTCCAACTCCAGCCAATTTAACAGAAACTCGGTTTGCCTCCTTGTGTCAGTAAAGACATTACTGACCAACTTTGTTCGTGTACCACCCAAAGGACTTTATAAGAATAGAAAAAAAAAGTTTTGTATCTTTTTCAATTGGTATTTAAAAAATTCCTAATTTTTTTGAATAACAAATTCCCTTTATTTGACATCCAAACTGGCTCTAAAGCAGCAGCAATTAATGCCGATCCTGCCAGCTCATCCCCTTCATCGTCATTCTGGAATCAGTGTTGACCCCAATGCTCCCCATCAGCACTGGTTCTCTACTCATTACATTGATTATTTGTTTTAGTAAGTTAACTTTGTATTGGAATGGAAAGAGTACAAGGGTCCCAATAGGCACCGGGAAAGGGTACCCTGTAAAAAAAACCCATTCAGGGGCCCAAAAAATGCTCTACAAGAAGAGATGACAGTGAATGTACAAATTAGGTACAAAAAATGGGGCAAGATGTTCGATGAGTTGCCGGGTTCACCTAGTTGGAATTGAGAGCTGCTCCCTCTCTAGCAAGCTTATCAGCTGCCGTCTTGGCTTCCCTCAAGATATGTCTCCACGAGACTCAAAAATTTCTAGTGAGGTGTGCTATTTCGTCGAAAATGTTGTATAAGTCTCCAGGGACAAGGTGCCATGCCGGAGCCCCAAGTTATGATATTCTGAAGTCCCCTTCCACTAAACAGCTCCAAGCTCCAGCTGGGGTTGAATTAGTGACGGCTCTCTAAGAGGGCAAAAGGCTTAGCAGTGGTGGAATCCGCAAAACCCATGGGGACGGAAAAAGAGAGAAGGAGTTGCTGTCACATGATCTAAAAATACCTCCAATCCCTGAAGGGCCAGGGTATGGGAGCAACCATCAAAATTTAGTTTAGTTTTGGCCTGGCTCAGGTGGTCTCCATAAGGAGGCCCTAGATATCCTAGTGGGTCACAGGTTGAGGAGCTCCTGCCAGTTATGGAAAAAGTCTGAGTAGGGGGAGAATTTGAAAAGAGGATGGTTATTGGCCCAGAAAGTGACCAAAGTCCTGACTCTAGGAATCATTTTGTTGGCTGAGGCTCTCTCGCCCCTGAAGACTCTGAGTTCCTCTTGAGCCAAATGACCCAAAGGATGGCAGCAAGCGATGCCCTCCAGAGAAGAGTGCCTGACTAGGGCCACGAGGCACGACGAAGGTACAAGAAAAGGTGGGGTACAGAGCTAAGTAACCCAAACCCAATTAAAGAGTTGGAGCAAGTCACTCCAAAGGGCCTTGGCAACTGGCCACAGGATGAAGAGATGGGCATTTGTTTCCTCGTCCTCCAAGCACATAGCAGAGTTATTGGGTAAGGGGGAGGCCCCTACGCTGGATTTGATCACTCATCACACCAAATTGTTCACAAAATTTGAAAAACTTTGTAAAGATTTGATCACTCATCACACTGAATTGGTCACAAAATTTGAAAAACTTTGTAAAGGACAAACCCTTGGTAAGGGTGTATTGCGGTCTCTACTACTTCAACATCACAGGTAAAAGGGCTGATACATCCACATCTTTCTTTGGTCTCTACTACTTCAACATCACAGGTAAAAGGGCTGATACATCCACATCTTTCTTGCATGAGGTGGTGCTCCACTTTTAAGTGTTTCATCCTCACATGTGACACAAGGTTCTATGCCAATCAAATGTAGCTCTAATTGTTGCATGCAGCCCAATCTGTCTTGCTTCATGTCCTCCATCAACTGCATAAGCCATACGCAATCCTGAGCTGCCATTTACATTGTTCTGTACTCAACCTTTGTTCTTGACAAAGAAACAATTGGTTCTCTCATATTGTACCAAGAAACCACTTCCAAATTCATGTTGAAAACAGCCGGTAGTTGACTTGCAGGTCATTAAGTCAACCACATAATCTACATCAAGCATCCAATCACATCATAAGAGGCTCCTTTCTTGTAGAGAACCCAAAAGTCAGCTGTGCCCTTAAATAAAATCAAACTTCTTCCAAATATGGCTTGCATGGGTTTTGCATAAACCTACTCAGATCCCACTTCATAACCAATATCTAGTCAGGATAGGGCAAGATGCATCAAGCTCCTGAACAGTAGCCCATAAATCCTTGTATGCCAAGCTGCTTCCCCATGTCACTTCTCAAAATCACATTCACTTTTGCAGAAAGCGAGCTAGGGAAGCCCATGCACTTTGGCATGGCTTAGAAGTAGATCAATGCAGGTAAAGTTTGTTCTGGTGTTGGAGGACGTATGCTACTGACTTGCTACTCAAGTTTGGAATCTAGGACACGAAGGTCTCAATGTCTGTAGATGAGGATGTAACAAGCAGATAGATACTCTATAGTGCTTATTTAAAGGTACTAAGGAGGGGACACATGGCCGATGCCCAAGAAACTATATTGCGTGCATCCTGTTCCACCAGAAGTGGAAGAGAACCCAATTTCGCAGAGCAGAGAGAACACCAATTTAAAAATTGGTCAAGAGAACCAAATTTCAAACAACAACCCCAAGAATGAATTCAAATGGAGGTTGAAGGAGATTAGAGTAACACACTGGGAAATCTAGAGTGAGATGGAAAACAATCTAGTGAGAGAAAGTTTAGCGATAACGAACATGACGAGGCCTTTCAGGAAAACTTAAAGATGAAATGTCTAGATTTCTTATCTGTCATAGATCAATGATGTATTTTTAATGTTCTGAGACATACCAAGAACCATAGACACATGTGTCCATGGTACATATGTTGTTAGAGTTGTTCCATGACCCATAATCAATGAGGATTAAGGACTCATGTCAACTCCCAACAGCCTTTCCTTCTCCATGACACCCATTGCTGCAAAGAGACCTCATGGGGCTCATGAATCGTTAACAACAATGAAGCGCTCATGAACAGATTTACTCATCCAGAAATGACAACTATTTATAGTCATTGATTCATCATACATGCTTGGGTTTCTCCTTTTCCACTTGTAAATATCACATAGCTCATGTCATACATAATTCATGTCATATATGCTTGGGTTTCTCCTTTTCCACTTGTAAATATCACATATTTCATGTCATATCTCAACTTGCACACATACATACAGACACACACACATATATTTGCAGATAAGACATCTGCAATCTCAAACACCATGATTTTGATCAATGATTTGGGACTTCTCTTGCTCTTACTACAATATAACTTACCAAACATTTGATGATAGAAAACTCTGCTCTATAATTGATGAAATGTCAAATTGCTTGGATCTTTTTATCTTTAACCTACAGAAAGTAACCTTGCAGTAGTCTGGTGATCAGCATCGCTAAATGGGTGATCTTCCTCTCTCCAAATTTGGGAGCTTCTGATTCTGATATTGACTTTATTCTCCTTCTCATAATCCAACAGTGGCCTTGATTCTCCAGGGCTTGCAGCTTCCTTCAGGTTCATCTCCATTAAACAAGTGGATATCTCTTTGGCTTCAGTTTCTTCTAGCATGACTTCTCCCCCATAACCACTAGTTTGTAATGCATTTGATTCTTCATTTTGATCCTCTAAAACTGAACCAAAGACTTTAGGCTTTTGGTCCAATGAACAAGTTTTTGAAGCTGGTTCTCTGTTGGTTTTGGAAGAATCTGACCTTAAATGGGAGCCATAACTCATATCTTCATTATCTTCGATATCGGTGTGATATGACTTGCACCTTCCATATGATTCAATAGCGAAGACTCTGCAACTTCCGAATTCTGAAAGGGAGGTCCTTGGAGTAAAGCTCCCAAACCCTTGAATCCCTCGAGTTAGTTTCCGAGCCCTCTGTCGTTCTTCTTTGAGGAGGTTCCTCTCAGTGAGCAGATTCAATACCCTCTCTGATTTCTTCCTCACTGTTAGACCCCAATTGAATCTGCAAAGAAATTTCAGAGCCTAATAATAAGTTACAATAATTATGTTTAGTGCATAACATGTATTGATTTTGATACAAATATTTGGGAAGAACTTGTATCTGGTTTTGATTCAATTGAAGTCCAGTTCATTGAACAGTCTTCCCTAATCATAAACGTACAGAAAGCTGAATAGCACAAGGCTGAGTGTTCTTTGAGCCAAAACAAAAACCATAAGGGTAAAACAAAAAAAAAAGCAGAAAAAGAGACCCTAGAAAAACAAAAACTTCTGAAACTTATATATAGCTGGAATTTGATTATATCCCAGTTCATAAAGTAACTCCCTAGACAGTTTTCTTTAAACTAATGTAAAAACTTCATGAAGAGCAGAAAAAGAAACATTCAGCAAATTCCTTAACCTTATATCAGGCTCGGATTTAATTCAAACCCAATTTGAGAGAACACTCACCCTTTCTCATCAATGTGCTGAAAGCTCCCCATTTTCTGGATAACCTCTTTGTCACTCTGAAACTCTAGACCAAAGCTTTCTGGACCATGGGTTAACAGGTGCTCCAAGAGAACCAGAGCCTTATAAGATTGTCTCCAGTTCTTTCTATCAAATATCTGAAATCTGAGCACAAAAAGAAAATCTATCAAAATATCCGAACCCAAAATGAGATTTTACCTAGTAATAGCTTTGTTACTCATTACAGATTGCTCTGATAATTTAATGAGACTGATAGAAGAGATTGACCTTGTAATATCAATTGAACTCAATGACCCATTCAAATTTCGATCATAATTCTTTGGAGAAAACCATATACCTATTGTGGAGGATTTCGACTATTCTCCAGTAATTATCCACTTCGAATGCAGCCTGTGAAATCTCACCCATAGTTCGGGCATCAGGCGCCCACGGATCCACATTCGTCGCTTCCTCGGTCAATCTTCAATACCCAAAACACAGATCATAAAGGTGAGAGAGAGATGATCAAACCTAAACCTCATAAAATTCTAAATATGGGGAAGTGAATCTAATTATTCGTACACATAGGATGCTGAGAGTTTGCAGGCTCATGAGAGAGAGATGATCAAAAACAGATTTCATAGTATGGAGAGATCAAAGAAGGAATGGAATTCTTCATGTACATAGGATTCTAAGCATTACTGCTATGTAGGTGTTAGAGAGAGAGAGAGAGGTGATGAAACATAGATTCCAGAAGCATCTAAAGATCAAAGAGTGATTGAAATTCAAGTACATCTGCTGTTTACGGATTAATTCTGTGTAGGCGTGTTCCAGAGATTAAAAAACCCAATCAAAATTCTTTGTAAAGGAACTGAACCTATGACTTACAATTGTGCAGGCGTGACATCTGTTAGAACCAAGCGTGCAGACTTGACCTTCTCCTTTATGAAAAAAGAAGCCTGCTTCTTCAACTCTTTGAACAAAGGGCTTCCCATGCTATTCCTATTGCCACTGCAATGGCTGAGCATAGACATGATTTAAGAACAAATCTTTAAAAACAGCAAATATCTCAGAGTTCTGCAAAAAGGCTTATCACTTGTGTAAGCAATTCCAACTGCTCCACTGCAATGCCAACCACTCTGAAAATGCTATTTGCCGGTGTCAAAACTCCAAAGACCTGATACATGGGTCAAATTGAATATATATATATATATATATATAGAGCGAGAGAGAGAGAGAGAGAGAGAGAGTAG